GGTACGACAATAGAAATACAAGAGAACATATCCATATAGAGAGTAAGTGTCATAACATGAGAACTAAATATAGTTTGATATCTTAACTTAACAAAAAAACAATTAGAAAAAACAAACTCAAGAAATAACAAGCTATGTAATTATCAATTATTATTGATCAACTCCTTTTCCAAGTCCGGATCATCTAGAGAGAGATTTGCAAACTCCAAATATCCAACATCTTCCATTGAATCAAATCCATCTCACCGACATCCCACTTCTTAGTCTTTTCATCTTCATATTGAGAAGAATTTTTTGATAAAAACGCAGATTGTTGTGGATGTAAACCAAATCTTTAGGACGACTTGGATTCAACATGTTCTTTTTAAGTGAGTGGATGAATGCGTACGTACTCTAATTACGCTCAAAACAAGAATATGAACTAGGTTGTACAAGCAATTTAAAAGCCAAAGTCTGGAAAAGAGGAGCTGAAACATCATAGTTAACCCACCAATTCTTAGATTCCATAGTAGACATTATTTCAAGGCATGATAAACCCTGAAAAAGACCCATCTTCATTAAAAATGATGCAAACTCATCCAAAACTCTACGATAATCATCATCATTGAGAAACAACCTTCGGAAACCCTTCATCATTTCACGAGAGATTTCTACGTCCTTTCGTGGAACGATTCTTTCGCTATTCTCACTTAGCCATTGATCACTATAAAATCTACAACATATAAAAATTGTATATGCATGTGTGAAGGAAATAAACAAAATAGAATAAAACATAGGTTAAAAACCGTATACTTTGGATTCAAATAGTGAGCTATGTAATGTAAACAAGTGTTATTTTTTGCCTAATGGGCCACTAAAATCTTGTAGACGACATCATAGAATAAACTATCTTTAGACATTGGTCGTTTTTCCTTTTTGTAGAACTCAAATTTTACTATCTCAATTATGGAATCCCACATTTCATAAACCAAGTGAAGGCATGGTTTGTCGGTGTTACAAATCCTAATCATATCATATATATACCTTGTGAAATCAATGATATAACACACCTTATCCCATCATTCATAATTGTATCCTTAACAAATCTTACTTTTCCTAGGTCATCCTCTCAGTAAGTTGACTACTCTTCACTAATGACCATGGATTGAAGACCCCTCCTGATGAGCTAACCACTCTTCACTAACGACCATGAATTGAAGACTCCTCCTGATGAGCAATCTCTTAAGCATCACAATGGTTAATGCAAAACGAGTTTCAACAGTTGAGAGCAACTTCAAAGAACAAAACTTGTTAAACATTGCTAGCCTCATGTTGTGGCTCATGATGAAATTCTTGATTGCCATAGCATCTGCATGAACTATTGTTATCCAACTACACTCATCATATGTTTTTTGATTCCCGCTCGTATTCTTTGATGCACAAATGTTCTTCAATGCAAGGTTAAGAGTATAAACAACACATGGAGTCCAAAATATGTGAGGAAACAAACTCTCGATATGCTCTCCAGCCGCTTTGCAATTTGTTGCATTATCAATAATTATCTGCACAACATTTTGATGATCCACTTCATTGATAGTCTTTTCCATCAAATTAGCAATAAAGAACTTGTCTTTACTTCACCAAAACAATTCAAACCATCCAGAAACAAAGGACCACTTCCGGAAGTAGCCATAAATTTAATCAGAGTTTTCTTGTAGGATCACTCCAACCGTCTATGACAATCGTCACCCCTTTTTCTTTCCATGTTCCTTTAAGTGGATCTAACAACTTCTCAACATGGTTTTTCTCTTGCTCAAGTAGGATGGTTCTGAGCTTATTATAGCCAGGAGATACATAGCTATCAACATAGCAAACTGATATGACCTATGGTAATACGAATTTCTAGCAAGGTTGAATGGCACACATCCAGTGTAAAAATTATGGCAATTTTTTGATCCAAATGATCCCTAATTCCAACACCAAATGCTCTAGCAATAGGTGACATGCATGACATTCTTCTTTTCTTTGAAGTTTTACAAAGAAAAGGAACTTATTTATCTCTAGACTCAAGTTTTTTCTTCTCATACTCATCATCCAATTCTTTCATCTCAGTTTTGTCATTCGCATTCACTTTTTTGCAAACAATAATTCTTTGATTTTTTATTCCAAGCAGATGTGACTCTTGAATAAGAACCGTTTCGGATGTCATTACAAAAATTGCAGCGAAAGTTCCAATTTCCTCCAGTTTTTTCTTGTTTCGCTTATTTAGTCACATACTTCCACAAAAGAGATTCATCACTTTGAGACAAATTTGCCGATTAACTATCAATATCACTATCAATATTATTATCTTGAGAAGCCATAATAATCACAATCTGTTTAAACAAAGTGTCATGAAATAAGAAAAAAATATGAAACAAAGGCGAGTAAGCGACAAAAAAAATCAAAAAGCAAAGAGAAGAAAAGACAAAATAAGAAGAAGATTAAAAGAATCATAACCTTTATCTTAATCGGTGTGTAACTGTGTATAAGCAATCAAACGCCGTGATCGTGAAGGAGGTGAAGAGAGAATAAAGACGTGAGATTTAGAATTGAGAAGCCAAATAGTTTTAGAAACCCTACATAGCAATTAAATTCCTTTTTTTTAGGATTTTACTGTTTTCCTTTTATTTTAAGTTATTTTTCCTTTTATTTTGAATTTTAAATAACAAGAACACGTCAGACACGTTCCTTGCCATCCCCTTGCCGTACCCGGTCACTCCACTGCGTCTCCGATCAATTGAAATGTCTAGGGGAGGTTTCCTAGCCGTCCTTTTGCCGTCCCCCTCCCCATGCCATTTCGGAGACGGAGATGCTACAAGATTGCCGCTTCTGTGCATCTTAGT